GGGCGGTGACCTACATCCACTCATATCCCACCGGCTGGGTCCTGGGAAGGGGTAGCCAGGCAGACCGTCTGAAGCCGGAAGGAAGAACCCTCCGCCGCCAGCGTCCGGCCGGACCGTAGTGGCGGTGGCACCGGAAGTGACGAACACGGAAGTCGGGGAACTCGCGCCGCACGTGACAGCCGTCAAGCACCACCGTGAGGCTTCTGGCGCTGCTGGGTCGGAAAGAACCGGATTGGCCGAGTCCCTGCGTCGCTGTCCCGGAGACTGAGTGCACCGGGTGGTATCGGAGAGCGGAAGATCGCTGGGCGCGGACAGGCCAGCTTGATTCCCTGAGGCTACGGAGAAGACGGATTTTTCAGTATTGTGTCGTGTTAAGAAAAACCTGAGAACAAAGATTGCCTTCTCTTCTTGCGATTTGGACTATTAAAATAAAAAAAAAAAAAAAAAAAAAACTCTTGGTTTCCAGTCCAGTGTGACGTTCAACCTTGCTAATTGGGGGTTTGCCACGACTCAGTCTCTTCTTGATTGCAGGTGATTAGGTCTGCGGCGGCATATATTGAACAGTTTCACCGAAATTAGTACAACCACTTGTTGAGATCCTGAGGGATGATGTCATGAACTCGATAGAAAACGCCTAGAAATGGGCAGAGGCATCCCCAGAGCAAGTAAAACGATTTTCTCCCTTCCCTACCATATACCCACGTATCTAGACTTTTATTGCCTCCTATTGTTGCTCCCCAATATTGCCTGTTCAGATTTTCTTTGCTGCAGCCAAAATAGTTTTCCAAAAATTTAAGAATTATGTCAAGCGTCAGAAATTGCCCTTGTCAATAACTTAACTCGTTTTCCTCTTCTACCACGTTTACGCTCAATATTAGCTGTTTCTTAGTACCTATGGTGAGCAAATAACTACTCCTCAAAGATGTCCGAAGCCTAAATCCCCAAAACCAACAATTATGTTAAAGTGCATAGCAAAGGGGAATTGAACTTGCTAATTACATGACTTTAGAATAGAAAGAGCGTTTTAAATAAAAGGGGGAGCGCTATAGATTATTCCATGAGCAGGAAGTAAGCCGAAGGTTCTTTAAAACGTGAAGACACAAAGAGCATCAAGAAGGATGTGACTATAATGATTAGGCAGAGGCAGTATTTTTTGTTTTGAAGATAGAAGGGACCTCCAGCCAGCACCGTGGGTGAGCCCTACAAGCTGGAAAAGATAAGGAAATTTAATTCCTCCCTGAAGTTAGTGTAATGGAAATCAGCCCTGTGGATACCTGTATTTTATCCCAGTGAGACTTGTGTTATACTTTCAGCCTACAGTGTAAGACCTAAGACCTTACTTCCACTCCACGGTGCTTGAACAGCCAAAAGGGCCTCCAAGATGCTGGGCCTATAGACCAGCGATTGCTCCAGGTGTAAGACGTAGGGCCTTACTTCCAGGAGCTTGAACAGCCAAAAGGGCCTCCAAGATGCTGGACCTATAGCCCAGCGACTGCTCCAGGAGCTCGATGAGCAGCAAGAATCACCCAGGAAGGAACACACCGTACAAGTTGGAAAACAGACCTTGATTAGTCTGGCCACATGGCACTCCCGGAACCAAGTAGCTCAGAGAGGCATCGGCTCAGGGGCTTAGGCTGTTTTTATAAGGGGATAGGCAGGGTGGGGTCAAAGCATGTAGGCAGGGGGCAAAGGTTAATGGCCTGCTAGTCTGTGCTGGTGGTCAGCAGTTATGTACTCAGCAGTCACGTGTTGATGGTTAACAGATATTTACAGAATGTCCCAAGGTTTTCAAAACATTCCTTCCGAGGCAGACAAGGAGTGAAACAATCTTATCCATTCACCCAGAACTACTAAAGGGTTCACCTGTTAATTTACATTAATCGCAGTTGAGGCTAGGAATTTAAGATTACCAAGTTATGCAGTCCCACAATAGAATTTGTAAGGTAACTTTTGTAGTGTTGCCAGTTTACAGTAAATGTGTTACCACAGCAATTATAAAGTAATGCACTACCCTTCAGGTGTCCTTTATTCCACCTTGGCCTTCTAAAACTCCCCGTGTATGCGACCACGACCATGGCGATGCTCTTGTTCATGAAGCACCCTGGAGTACTCTGTTCTTTTCAAAGTCCTCTGCATTCTTCGAGGAGCTTCGAAACAATGCCTTCACTAAAGTCATTCATAGTCCTACATCCTTTTTTTCATTCAGAAACATCTCAACTTTTACAAAGTGCCCCCCTGCTCCTTATTCCATCCTTATTCTTGTGTTCGTTATTTCCCTTGTCCTCCATTGTTAGATTGCAGACTCCAAAGAGAAACTACTGGGAGCTGTGCATTTCTCAGTAAATGGTTAGTGAGTGAAAGTATTGATTATCTAGGTCCCAATTCCAAATATCTATAATCTCCAAATCTGAATCACAATATTGCACTTGAGCAACTGCCTAGTAATCTTAGTTCATTTTTAGAATTATCTCTCAACTAAATAGTAAAGCCTTTTAGAATGTTCTTCGAATTGTCTCTAGCCTCCATATGTCTTATCACAGTACACAGCATATTCATGGGTTTTTTAATACTGGTATGTTTTCATCATTTTGTGTTTCACTCTAAAGAAAAACTCTTGTTAGAAATTTGGTGTATTAGGGGCAACCCACTTTCCAGTCCACCTTCTGTCTCTTTTAGACAGAAGCTTGCTTTCCCTCAATAATTTTTTTTTTACTTTTTATTGAGTTTATTAGTACAATCTAGGTATACAATATAGTTACATTCATTACTGGGATCCTGTACCTTCAAATGACCTGTCTTGGTTCTCATTTTTTCCCCTTGTCCCTGCCCTCCCTTCATCCCCACCTCCCCTCCCCATTTACAAATGCTTTATTTCCATTTCTTCATTTTCTCATATTTTTTTCTTTTCCCTCAATAAATTTATCCTAAACCTCCATTGTTCCAAGAATTCACTCCTCAGTTGTAGAGAACACGAACTTGCGTTTGGATATCTAGCAGGTTTGGGAGTTACATCTCTTTCCCCTATATCATTTTGGAGGTTTTTCACCAATATAACTGGTCAGAGTTCTCAACATTATTTAATTCAAGGCACTTCCCTCTTCTGTGGCTGCTGGCTTCCAGAATTAACTCTTCCTAAAGAAACCGCAGCAGTGCTATGTCATTTTTTACTTCATGGACACCCTATCCAATCTTAAAATGAAAGAATACAAGCACTCCACTCTTAGTGAACTGGTGGACTACATTACAATAAGCAGAGGCTGCTTGACAAAGCAGACTTACCAGGAAGTAGTTAGGATGGCATCAGGTAATCTATTCAGAACTCTCCCTTCCTGTGACAGCAATGAATTTGATCCAGAAGAAGACAAACCTATCCTTGAGGCATCGTGGCCACACCTACAGCTTGTATATGAATTTTTCATACAAGTTTTGGAAAGCCAAGAATTCCAATCCAGCATTGCCAAAAAGTACATAGATCAGAAATCTGTATTGCAGCTTTTGGAGTTGACAGTGAAGACTCTCAGTAACAGGACTACTTAAAGACAGTTTTACACAGAATTAATGGCAAGCTTCTGGGTCTTAGAGCATTTATCTGAAAACAGATTAACAATGTTTTTCTAAGGTTTGTTGATGAAACAGAGCACTTCAATGGCATAGCTGAGCTGCTGGAAGTATTAGAAAGTATTATCAATGGCTTTGCTTTACCTCTAAAGGCAGAACATGAACAGTTTCTGGTGAAAGTGTTGATCCCTTTACACGGGGTCAGGAGCGTATCACTCCTCCACGCCCAGCTGGCATATTGTATAGTACAGTTTCTGGAGACAGATCCTTCACTAACAGAACCAGTTATTAAGGGATTAATTAAATTTTGGCCAAAAACATGCAGTCAAAAAGAGGTCATGTTCCTTGGGGAGCTAGAAGAAATTCTGGATGTGATTGAACCGCCACAATTTGTTAAAATTCAACAACCTTCGTTTAAAACAAATTGCCAAGTGTGTATCCAGCCCCCATTTACAGGTGGCAGAAGAGCACTCTGCTATTGGAATAATGAGTACATCATTAGTTTTATAGAAGAAAACTCCAATGTCATCCTTCCATTGTGAAGGATTTCAAAAGAACATTGGAATCCAGCTATCGTGGCATTAGTGTACAGGGTGTTAAAGGCATTTATGGAGATGAACAGCTCCAGGTTTGATGAACTCACAGCAACATACAAGTCAGATCGGCAGCATGAGAAAAAGCGCGTGAAGAATTGTGGAAAAGTTTGGAGGATCTGGAGTTAAAGAGAGGTCTTAGATGTGATGGTATAATTCCAATTTAACAAAAATATGACAACGTTACTAATCTCTAGAGTCACTCCTTTTTGTAGTAGAAGATGGAGCAACAGTTTTCTGTATTGTGCAACTTTACAGTAGATTTCACAGTTGTTTAATTATTACAACAGCACTGCATATACCCTGTCTCTTAGTAAAAGAAAAATAAATAAGGGGACAGTAGATGGACTTCTCAGAACTTTGCAAACATAATCATTCTTTTAACCCACTTAAAAACAAACGGAAAAGCAGTCTTCAAAGATCTGTTGATGAACTTGCTGTGTCAAAATTTCATTATCAGGAGTTCCTTGCAGAAACTAGCAGAAAGTACGATACCATTTTTTTAGTTTTTTTTTATTAAAGATTGCAAAGATACATGATAACAAGAAATGAAGATACTAAATAAAAATTTCAAATATACATATATATGACAGCAAAAAAAGAGTATGAAATAAACAAGAATTTATGTAACAGACTGATCGAAATACATTAGTTTGATATGATCTTCAAACATTATGTTCTTTCTCATTTTCTTATAATATTTTTGAAATAATGTAATTATAAATAAACCAAAGT